GGAATAGGTTTGCCTTAAGTCAGAAATCACTTGAAGGCAGCAGCAGCAGCAGCAAAACACAGCATATAAAAGCAACATCAAGAGCAACAAAATATATAAAAGCAAGAAAACCATCAGTTGGGGCTTCCATCTCCCTTTGCAATTGCAACAGTTTCCCCAATTTACTCTCTCTCTCTGTGTGTGTGAGTAACCAGCCTCATGGAAAAAGCAGAATTTGCTTCCACTTAAGGTGGAAGGGATGCATTTGAAAGCCTTGCAAAGAAAGAGACACTGCTCTTGCTCAGCCCTGCTAGGGTTAAACACCTAGACTAGAGCTTGCCTTGCTAGAGAGGCCAGACATTTGCAAAAGCCACTCCTCTCTTGATTCTTCCAGGAAAGGAAGGAGGCTTTGCTGGCTGAGGAGTGGAAGGCCCATAATCCTGGACCCAGAGGTAAGACTGGCACTGCTGGGGGTAGTAACAAAAGGCAAGGGAGAGAAGAAGAAACCCTGAAGCCTAGCCAGTTTGTTTCAGCTCTCTTGTGCCATCAGAGACTACAGCTGGCCTTTTTGCAAAGAAGGGTGGAGAAAGAAAAGGGGGCCCAAAAATCATTTGAGGTTTAGTTTTTTTTCTTTTAAAATAGCAATGTGTATTAAATATAAACACAATCACACATTTTATAGATAGCTCTCCTTTGGAGAAAGAAAAGGGGCCTCAACATTTGATGTGTTTATTCTTTTACATTCATTTTTAATAACATAAACACAATCACATATTTTATGGATAGCTCTCCTTTGGAGAAGAAAAGGGGTCCCAACATTTGATGTGTTTATTCTTTTAAAATCATTTTTAACAACATAAACACAATCACATATTTTATAGATTGCTCTCCATTATTATTATTATTAGCAGTAGTAGTATTCAGAGGGATGGAGAAAGAAAAGGGCCCCCATCATTTGATATTTGTTTATTTTTTTAAAATAATTTTTACTAAACATAAACAAAATCACACATTTTATAGATAGCTCTCATTTATTATTATTTTTTTCAGAGGGGTGGAGGAAGAAAAGGGCCCCCAGCATTTGATATTTGTTTTATCCTTTTAAAATCATTTTTACTAAACCACTGTCACACATTTTATAGATAGCTCTCCATTATTATTATTATTATTATTATTATTATTATTATTATTATTATTATTATTATTATTATTATTATTATTATTATTATTCAAAGGGGTGGAGGAAGAAAAGGACCCCCAACATTTGATGTGTTTATTCTTTTACAATCATTTTTATTAAACATAAGCAGTCATACATTTTATAGATAGCTCTCTATTATTATTATTATTATTATTATTATTATTATTATTATTATTATTATTATTATTATTATTATTATTATTATTATTATTATTATTATTATTATTATTATTATTATTATTATTATTATTATTCAGAGGGGTGGAGGAAGAAAAGGGCCCCCAACATTTGATGTTTTTTCCCTTTTTAAAATAATTTTTATTGAACACAATCACACTTTTTCCCTTTTATAATCATTTTTATTAAACATAAACACAATCATACATTTTATAGATAGCTCTCTCCTTTATTATTATTATTTTTCAGAGGGGTGGAGGAAGAAAAGGGGCCCCAACATTTGATAGTTGTTTATCCTTTTAGAATTATTTTTATTAAACATAAACACAATCACATTTTATAGATAGCTGTCTATTATTATTATTATTATTATTATTATTATTATTATTATTATTATTATTAAAGAGGGGTGGAGAAAAGGGACCCCAACATTTGATACTATTGTTTCTTTTAAAACAATAATGTGTATTAAACATAAACACAATCACAAAATATATAGATAGCTGGCCTTTATTCTACCCCCCCCCCCTGGGGTGGAATAAGAAAAGGGAGTCCAACATTTGATATTTGCTTTAAAAATAATAATAATTTGTATTAAACATAATCACAATCACAAATTTTATAGATACCTTTTATTTTTATTTTTTTGAAAGGAGTGGAGAAAGATAAGGGGGCCCAACATTTGATAGGGTTTTTTTCTCTTAAAATATTTTTTATTATAAACACAATCACAAATTTTATACATACTTCTTTATAGATAGTCCTCCTTTATTTTTTTTAAAGAAAGGTGCAGAAGGAAAAGGGGCCCAACATTTGATATTAGGTTTTTCATTTAAAATAATTTTTATTAAATATAGGACTTTATCACAACGGGGCCAGTTCTGTCTTTAAAGAGATAATAAAGCACAAATAAACCATCCTGAAAATAAAGCGAAAATAGTGTTTAATTGTGTGAATGAATATCACACACAATTAGAATAAATGCGTAATGACGTAAAAAGCGAAAAAAATCTGCTTTTGTGATTCATACAAAAGCGAACGAATTCCGCGTATGAAGTAGAAATGGTATAATCGCATATGCACACATTCTTCTTTGTGTTCCCACGTTATTTCGCCATTACAATCTTTCCTATTCTCAATAGTTGTATTTTTTGCTTTATGAGAATGGATAGGATACACTTTTGTCTGGTATATTTGTCACCCAAGCAAAACAGGAAGTAAAAGCGGCCCCACAGAACCATGGGAAAACCGGGAAAACGAGTGAAAGGAGGATTATTGCGTGAATAAAGCGAATTTGACTTTCACACTGGAGTAAATGCGCAATTACAGTAATATCGCAAATGCATTTTCGCTAAAATCCCGAAAGTAAAAAGAGCCAGGATAACATCACTTTCTGGCCAGTTTAATGACGGGTTTTCTGTGACATCTTATGAAATCATTGCGCATAATTACGCATTTTTGGGGGGATTTGTATGTGATAAACCATAGATTCTCCCTGTGTGATAACGTCCATAAACACAATCACACATTTTATAGTTAGCTCTCCTTTATTACTATTTTTCAGAGAAGTGGAGGAAGAAGAGGGGGCCCAACATTTTGTATTTTTTTTCCTTTTAAAATATTTTTTATAAAACATGAACACAATCACAAATTTTATAGATACCTTGACTTTATTTTTTTTAAAGGCTGGAGAAAGAGAAGGGGGCTAACATTTGATACTTGCTTTCTAAAAAAATAATAATTTATATTAAACATAAGCACAGTCATAAATTTTATAGATACCTTGGCTTCATTTTTTTAAAAGAAGTTGGAGAAGGAAAAAAAAAAGGGGGGGGCGACATTTGGTATTTGCTTTTTTTGAAAATAATAATTTGTATTAAACAACACAATCACAAATTTTATAGATAGCTCACCATTATTTTTAGTTTCAGAGGGATGGAGAAAAAAAAGGGCCCAACATTTGATATTTTTAAAAAATTGTTATTAAACATAAACACAATCACAGATTTTATAGATAACTCTTCTTTATTTATTTTTTAGAGGGG